TATCTTTGTAACAAGCTTGGAACATATGATTTATATGTTCCAGCTTGAGGGGGAGTGTTAGAAGTTAAGATGTGTGTTTAAGTTAATGGGGCTCAGCCCATTCTGTATTAAGGGTCTTCGCCCATATCTTACATTATAAATAAACTACCCTATGTGTTTGCAAAAGACACAAGGGATATTTCTCCCAATCTTCTCTATTTCTCACAGACTATTTAAAGTCAATATTGCAGTTAATAAAACTTGTTTTCAGTCCAGGCTGTTGTGATATGTTCAGTTTTATTCTCAACATGTAGAAGGGTTAGCTCTCAATTTTTCTAAGATACATTTTCGAATTTCAGGTGTTCTGCATGAAAATTCATGAAAACATTGTGTTCTATACAGCACAGGCTTTGGTACGGGATAAGATAAAAAGATCAAGTGGCCAAAGTGGGAATTCTGAAAGCTATATTAAGAACATAAAGGAGTGAGCAATGTTGGAAATTTCATTAAAAAGAAAACAAAAATAGTACCCTTAACGACTTGTTGCTCTCAAGTGCTTTAGCCAATGCATTAGCCCCCAAAGCACCACCATAATTGCCACTTGAATAGTGATAATTTTGGAAGAATTCACAAAAATGGAAAAGAATAAAGTAATGAGTTTAAAGATTTACTCAAAGCAAATCCAAAAAGCATGAAGATCATAAATTAAACTGCTACTTCCTCAAAATTTTGGGGAAAATACTTGATGTGACAATCTTACTCACTTGAGATGTATACTTCGTATGCTGTTATTCTCAAGAAGTGCTCCAGCTAAACTTGAAAATCCCTGCCTCCATTTCCGAGAAACATATTAAAATAATGTTTGGACACTCACATCTACGCTCTTAGAATAAGCTTAGGTAAATTCCATACAGAATATTCAATCATGTTATTGTTCAGTTCAAGAACCCTCAAACTTGAATTTTTCTTCAACATTTCAGCAATAGCTTTTGCACCCTGCATAGCACAGTTAGCATTTCTTAGTTCCATTTGGTAGCCATTATATGACAAAAACAAATCATCAAGCTAACCTCATCACCCAAGTCAGCACTGTTTAGCTGGAGCTTCTGAATGCTAGAGTTGTTCGCCAATATGTCACATAAGCACTGTGAAGAGTGAACAAGGATATTGATAATCAATAGTTAAATACAATAATTATACACAAGCGTATGACAGGGAGTCAATGATCAGCACTAACTGTCAACAAAATTATAGTCTTTTATCTGTTTGAGAGAGGATAGAGATAGGTGATAAGCATATCTCAAACACAGTTCTGATAACAATCATGGTTAGCTATGTAGGCTATAAGCTTCTTAATCTTTAGTCCGTGGTTCTTAATGTCAAAAGATAAATGAATATATTCTAGCAAATACAGTATAAGAGATGATCTTTGTGTCATAACTATTCAGTGAACAAATACGGCTATGTATGTATGTCAATTTTATAATAATCCATTATACTCTTCATCTGCACTTGAATGGATACGTAACTAGCCACAAGATCGACACTCAACAGATTCAATATATTCCAAAGGAGCTATAGTACCATAAACCAGTGAACCAAGCTCCATTAAAATATTTGACTTGTTCTTTCTTGTACAATATTCAATATTATATTTGATTGAAGACAGCCTCATAAACATAAGAAAAATAGCAAATACAGAGATACTATTTATAAACATCAATCTCAATTTATTGTGCAACAGTAACGATTATGAAATTATCTCCATTGAAATATTTGACTTGTTCTTTCTTGTATAATATTCAATATTATATTTGATTGAAGACAGCCTCATAAACAGAAGAAAAATAGCAAATACAGAGATACTATTTATAAGCATCAAACTCAATTTATTGTGCAACAGTAATGATTATGGAATTATTGGAGGCAATATCAAGGATAATCACAGAACATGTATAAACAACCATTGACCAGTCAATAACAAAGCCTCCAGGAAATGATGCCAACAATTTTAGTGACTTGTATAAAGAGAAAGTAGTCTAGAATAATAAGAAAAAGAACAACATTAACAATAACAATGATGAAAATTATGAAATAAAGGAATATAAGGGCCTATGATATATATATATATATATATATATATATATATATATATATATGCATGAACTTTATCTAAATTATTATAATCTATCATGACCATGGTATCAAAGCCTCAATGACCAAGTGGTCAATAGATGTCACCCCAATTTCTAAATAAAAAGATTGAACTTCAACATAAGGTACGTTGGCTTGTGCCCTGCCACATTTAAAAGCCCAAATGGCTCTTGTCTAAAGGGAAATTTTATAAACAAAAACATTCACAAGACTTCACTCAACAATTCAAAATTGTGTTATTGACATAAGTATATGAACACGCAATTTTTATAAAAATACAACCTAACATATGTTTTAAGGACCTTTCAAATAATTATAGAAAATAAAGGAACTGTGACAGTAATGAACCCAGATCCTGAATTCAGAGAAACACTTGGGACTGACCTTGGCACCTTCATCTCCAACTAGGTTTCCTGAAAGATCAAGAGTCTTCAATGTGATGTTTGATTGAAGAACGCCATCAAAAGCCCTCAACCCAGCTGCAGTTATTCCATTTGCAGCAAAACTCACTTCCTCTGCAGTCTTTATACAAAATATATTTAGCATGTGCTCAAAGAGAGAGCACCAAAGCGCATCTTTCATTAGACTACTTTCTTATGAACTATAGATCACAGATTGATATTATGAACCAAAACCCAACTTCCACACAGCTAATTTCTCTATAAACAAGATTTGGCTGATATAGATTATAATGGATTAAGTCTCTGCAATCTTGTACTGTATTAAACTACTAATTTATGTGTTTCTCAGTTAATCAACAATAAACAAATGTAATTAATTATTGTAACATATATGATCCTGAAGAAATATAATTCTTTTTGAAAATCTGGTCTATCCAATGTGTTCACAAATTCACTATAAGAAATAAGAATATTTTAGGAGATATGAGTTTCTAATAAGAATGTTTATTTTTCTAAGTAACCTAGATACTTGATAATAGATATATTCAGTATTACTGAAAAGGGGCATGGCAGCACCACAAATAGTTAGTAGTGGAAAATCAGGTTTTGTATAGTGGCTCCTATATTCGGCATTGTGAAGCGGTAGTTCAGAGCAGAAATGGCATACCAAACAGAAATGGTATGAGTAATGAAGGAGAAGAAGCCTACAGTCAGCACGACCCGACCCAAAGGCACTATGCAATATTCTTGAATAAAATTAAGTCCATTCTGCTGCGTGGAAAACACACTTGAGCAAAATCAGAAAATATTTATTTCTCTCTTGACACCCTTTCTTTGGAGCATATTTCATAGACCAAAAGTAGAACCTATGCCAAACTCATTAAGTGGGGTTTTTCAAATACTCATATTAACTGGCCATATAACATAACAGTTGACCTCGAATGATTACAAGACTAAGTGATTTAGGGAGCATATTTCATTCTCAGATGTTACCTGGTTAAATGCCAAACTCTCAGAAAGGAAGAATAATCCTTCATCACCAAAGTTGCGCCCTGCCAAATTTGAGGTACGATAAATCAATTACTTTTGCTTATACTTATTCATTCAATTCTATTGTACCCACATTTTAAAATAGTCATTCAATCCAGTCAACTGCAACAAAGCAAGAAATATCGACTGTGTTATGAGTGATTCAGATATTGATTTGCTATGTTTTGATATGAACTAATTGGACTTAGAAATCAAACCCTATATTTGTTATCCTACTATGAAAATATGATTTAAATCTTTTTACAAAACACATTTGCGATAAAAGGAAATTTAGTTAGGTAATTTACTTTATAACAGGTAACCCAGAAAAAGCATGGGAACCCAGAAAAAGCTAAGTAATTCACTTTATTATCCTTATTAAGATTGCGGTAAAGTGGGTGAACTAATAACAGCAAAATTTTCAATCAAATAATTAAAACTAAAATGAAATAAAATCCAGTCACAAAATGAGTATATTTCTAGATTCATACAAATCCAAAGGATTTGAATCTCAAATCATTTTGAATTTCCTGAATTACTGAAAAAAACTATTTTAAAAATTAATTCCTAAAAGTGTGAAAGGAAATTAAGTTGAAAAGAGAAAAAAAAAAACTAGGAGACAGACACCTTCAATTGGAAAATGTTACAGTCTTATAGATTGAGGAAAGTCCAATATCAATTAGATTAGAAAATAAAAACTTTGGTATTCATGAAAACAAATGAATCATATCCAGTCTACAGATGACAAAATAATGAAGTTATTTTGAAAAATTATCAGACAAGAAACTCCATTATTGAATCTAAAGAATTCCAGATAACCATAAATATCTTACTCATTTATAAAATTTCCAATCCTGCCAGCATACCTGACATATCAACACTAGGAAATGACCTCAGTTCCCGAGCAAACTCGTTGAGCTTATGTTTAGATTGTCTCTCAATCTTTGCCCCAAGTTGGGACATCAAATTTGTCCCAGCAGCAAAAGACCATTTGAGTCCTTGTGAAGGGAGTTGACCTTCCACAGTCGAAGATTTCAATGGTTTCGGAACAGGAACAAGAAGCTTCTCCACTAATTTCCAGATAACTGTAAACTGAAAACAAATTAATACAAAAAAGAACCATGCTAATTGCACCCGGTACACATGAAAAATTTCTTTAATTGAGTCATGGAAGAGGGAATGGATTGCCGAAAAAATATTAAAGAAAAATATATAGTATGTAATATTGATAGGGCTTCAAAACATTAAAAGGGACATGGAATTTCCAGGGAGACAAAGAAAAAATATCTTTCAAATTAGACATTTCACAAACGTAGAGTAAATGTCTTGTTGACACTGACACACCATTTGTGTCCCAGCTTCGTAGGAGTGAAGAAGTCCTTCCTTGGAATGTTGATTCATATCTTGCCTACAGACTTTAAAAGAGAGTGTACCAAGTGTTGGTCTAGCAACATGGTGTAAGTTAATCGAAACCGCCAACCCGATTCGATACTGGCACGCACAGTTTCAATGCATCATAGATTACCATGCAGGCAAGATATGAATAACTAAAGAGTACAGAAATAAAATAACGAAAAAAAAAAATTAAGCAGGTACCAAAAGTGAGGGCGACCAACACGGCGAAGGGGCCAACAACGTTGGCAATCTGCTTCATCGGTGCACTGGACAGCGGTGCATGGACCTGAGACTGCCGATAGATTCTGCGAGAACCGACTGGGCGCGGACGAGTACCTTCCACGCTGGAAGAAACCTTAATTACAAAGGTTCGGAATCGCACGATGCTTCGGAACCGCATTCTCTGACAGTTTAGAGCGGGAAGCGGCGCAAATTGAACGACGCAGGTCAAGGCAAGCGATTGCAGGCTCTGGTTGCGAAGGCCAACCTGTTTCAACGAAGCATTTCAATGAAACAAAAAAAAAGGAACGGTTATGATTAGCTGTGCGTGAGGGAGATGGTAACCTGCGGGTGAGGATAGAGGGACAGAGGGGAAGTGCAAGCCATAGCATGTTATGACTGAAGGAACATAGAAGAGAAGATAGATGAAAGAAGGAATGCTATTTATAAATAAAGAAATGGCTTTGTGTGCAGATTCTGGCGGAGAGGAAGAAAATTGAAAGCAGAGAAGAATGGAGGAGTCACTCGCTATGAAGTATGTCTCAGTGGCTACATTGCCTTCTATTCTATCAACTACTCTACAGCAACTACTGCGGGTGAACAGTAACTGAAGATAAACTCAGTATGGGCTTTTACTTTCTCCACCCCCACGATACCTATATAAATTTTCAAAATAACCATTTTACCTCTAAAAAATGGTTTAATCATTCACTAAGTCCCTAATTTCGCATGGAATCTCAATTTCGTCCCTTTCTTTCTGAAAATATCAATTGGGTCCCAATTTTATGAAAATTGCAACAAATCGATCCTTTCCGTTAAATAATGTCAAACAGCGTTACGGTGTGTTTGACGTGGCACGCTGTTGTGGACGTGTTATCTGACGGGGTTGAAGAGAGCAGGAGCAGTGGGGCACGTGGATATTGAATATTTTATAAGTAAAAAGAAAAGAATTGTTTTATAAGTAAAAAGCACGTGGATATCGAATTAGGGATTCTTCTCTATCAATACTGCTAGGGTTCGGTTCGTGCAGATCGAATTAGGGATAAGGTTTCGTGAGATCGAATTAGGACTTCTCTCTCTCAGTACTTCTAGGTGTTGGTTCGTGCCAGATCGATTAGGGATGAGGTGCGGCAGATCGAATTCTTTGAGACCTTCTACCGGTGTAATCGACAGTTGAGGGTGAGATGCCCTTGCTCGTCTTCGTAATGCAGCGGGTGGGCGGAGCAAAGATAGTAATGTGTATGTGGTGGTGCCGAGGAGTAAAGAACAACAATGGTATCGTTGTGCTATTGGGGAGAAATTTGTATATCAGACTGCAATAACAGTCACAGAACAGATAAGCAATTTGGGGCTGCCCTATTCAAGGTAAGGTTTTTTGTGGGGTTTTCGTTGTTCTTATTTCCGTTCCAGGGTGATGATTGGTGTTTTGTTGTTAACAATGTGGTATAGATGGTGGTTGAAATATTTTCACATGGTGTGAGATCATGGGGTATTGAAACGGAAACGTGCAAAGTGTGAGGCAGTATGAGGTTGCTGAAAAGAGAAGCATGGAAGGTGGATAGAAGAGTATAAGTGATTTGGACTGCTCTGGAAGAGACATTGGGAAATAGGTAATGTACTTTAAGGAATTGTCTGCTGTTCTTGGTGGTGAAACATTATTGTACTTACAATAGTGTTTTTTCGTTCACCATCACCATGATTTCATTGTACTTATGATGGGATGTACTTAGAATGCAATGAACCGAAGTTATTTTGACTATAAAAGTTTGTATTGTTTGTAATTTTTGGTCATATATGTGACGCTCGTTCTTTGATGGAATGTACTTCATGTTGATTTGCATGTTTTCTCAGTTAGGGAGCGTGCGTTCGGTTTTAATTTGGGTTGAATCTTAAAGCGTTTGGTCTGTGTGGTAGTGTTTGTGAGCGTTCGGTTTTGGCATTTTGTTATACTAGTGATTGTAACGTTCGGCAGACTCGAGTAACTTGAAGGCGTTCGTTCCTTATATGTGATGTTGTTTTGCCATGTTTTTCTTAGTTAGCGAGAGTCCGTCGCGTTTTAAGTTGGGTTGAATCTAAAGCGTTCGGTCCTGTGGTATGTTTGTGAGGTCGGTTTTGGCCCTTCGTTATACTAGTGATTGTACGTTCGGCAGACTCGAGTAACTTGAAGGCGTTAGTTCTTAATGTGAATGTTGGATTTGCATGTTTCTCAGTTAGCGAGCGTCCGTTCGGTTAATTGCGGTTGAATCTTAAAGCGTTCGGTCCGTTGGTAGTGTTGTGAGCGTTTCGGTTGGCCTTTTGTTATAATAGTGATTGTAACGTTCGGCAGACTCGAGTAACTTGAAGGCGTTCGTTCCTTATATGTAATGTTGATTTTGCATGTTTTCTCAGTTAGCGAGCGTCCGTATGTAGCGTTCGGTTTTAATTAAGCTGAAGTTCCTACATAAAAGTGCTGTCATACAGACCAGAATATTACATCATTATCAACTGAAGTTCCATCAGTTAATATCAATGCAGTACCAGAAATATTACAAATTTGCATAAGTTCATCCTACTGTCTACTACGGTTGATTCCCAGAGTGATGTGCTGATGTACTGGGTGCTGTGCTGATGTACAAACTATTTCAGATTGTTGAGATGGATGGAGTTGCTTGGGTTGCTGAGTACGTTTGTGGGGGATGATTCATAGGGGGCGGGTCGGGCTGGGCGTAAGTTGGTGATCTTCGCGCTGCGATGTGGGGTTGGGGGGGCGTAACTTCGGTGCATGAGGGGCGGGAGCCGGTAAATAGGCAGGGCGCTCCCTGGTTGGTTGTCACAGTCCTGGTTGGGTTGCTGATGGGCAAAACGACGTTCTGTTATGGCCATGTCTCTTACTATGCCACATCTCTTTGCAGCCAGATTTGGTCATCTTGATTAATCCTTCCTCATTCAATTCTCTATCTTCGTTTCTCTTTGGTCGTCCAGGCTTACTCTTTTGTGTGTGGAGACACATCGGATATGGAGTATGTTCAACATGTGGCTCCATTTAAGGGGAGCTATGATGTTGAATATGTCTCGCATATTTGGGACTTCATGTAGCAAGACTCAATAAATTGTTGTCCATCAATGTTGGAGGACTTCATGCAGCAATGAATGACAACAGGGTCCCAGTCATTATCAAGTTCTGCATGTGCATCTAGGGATCATATCAGGTTGACTAAAAACCTATCTCCATTGTTAGACATGTGACGGAAATTCGAATAGGCTTGTTGCATGACCAACTGTGTACAGAAGACCAACAAGAATTATTAGGCACAGTAGTAAATTAATATATAACATAGAAGTGATTACTGAAATTTACCTAGGAATCCAATTTTGAGTTAAATGAGATTCCTTTCTAAATCTGGATAGAATCTTGTGACAAATGGATCCAGTAAATGATGATATGCTTGACCTGTTCTTTGCCCATCTTTGCATGAGGTAAAGTCGTATCGTCTCCAACAACGTAATTATGGGTTTACTCCTGGCAGAAACGAGGACACTGTTGAAGCCCTCACTCATATTGTTTACTAAGGTGTCAGATTTAGCTTTCAGTGAACCCTTGATCTGACCAGACTACAAACAAATCATAAAATTATTATTAACATTATATTCCTTATCCTCTTGAATAAGGGAATTATGTTATACTTTTGAAGACTAACTGGAGGGATGCAATCAATGCTTATCAGCATCTTCGTTTATGCTCTTATGTTTATCATTTCCATCCTCCCATGTTTGGGATGTGTGTGTAGGCCCTCCACATTAAACGCTTCAGTTTTTACCAGGGTATTTCTTCCTGAAGTTGGCATACATATGCCTCACACAAAACCTTTGATCAACTCTAGGAAGCAATTCATCTATTGCATAAAGTAGACCCTGCAAACAATATACAAGTAATGAATACAGCCAACAAATACTTAACAACCTCAAATTAAAATGTACAAATTAATATTACCTTCTGCTGGTCTGATATAAAGGTAAATGTGGAACAAATTTCAGCCACTCCCCAGGTCATCTACAAATAGTTCAGGGACCCCTTCCATGATGCCGTGTTCTCAACTCAAACAACACAGTATGCAATTGGCAACATATGCCTCATTCCCATCTCGGCCACAGCTGTTAACCAACTCAACACCGTACTTACCTTTCAAAAATGCTCCACTAAAAACCAATCATTGGCCTGCATGCAAATAAAAACATGTCTTGCAAGCCTTTAAATGACCATAGAATCGATGGAAATATGACTTTACCCCCAACCTCAACTTTAGTTTCAATGTTGACCAGGATTGTGTGGCCACCACTCATGGCATAATCATTATAACCTTTTATACTGTTCTTTGAAAGAGCCATCAATGTGCTCTGTTGCATGTTCTGTGGCCCTATGGCATTACACCTAGAATACCAATGTCCCATTTCCATTTTGAAATTTTCCCTTATATCCACCCCCTTACAACTGTTGGACTCATCTCTAATAATTCCACTTCGAATTTCCCACTCTGCTTCAAACTTCATTCTGTTCTAAAACACCCTTCCTGTCACCATCACCTCAACTCTTCCTCCATAACGCCTCAACTGCCAGCTCTTTCCACCATCCCCACCAACTTCCTGAACTTGTTCAACTACAACACCCTTCCTCAATAACAAGCCTCAACTCAACTTGTCACCATCTCTTCCCAACACACCAAACAACTTGTTCAACTCCAACACCTCTTCCTCCATACAGCCTCAACTCCACTTGTTTACTCCCCTCTCTTCTCCAACACACACAACCAACTTGTTCAACCCTACATCCTCTTACCTCATAACAGCCTCAACGTCCACCATTCTTCAACCCCTCTCTTCAACTCTCCTTCATCATTAAACCAAACATGTCACCGCATATGATGGACTTCGGGTTCAGAAACAGGTGTAATCAAAAAAACAATGGACCCCCATTTCAGCCCTAGCTAAATTAACCATTGCATGGCAATGCAGTTCATTCACAAGACGCTCTAACTTATATCACAACATTGAAGCCCCCTCTACAGAGACCACATATCTTTAAGCCCATCGTATCCAAAGATTCACTACTACACTCACACAAATAACCTCCAAACCATCTGGGTAAACATAACCTAGCTGTCTCCCCCTTCATACTTAAGCTTCCCATCGTTAACTAAGTTCCCTCCATGGTGAAAGACGAACCTCAATATCCTCGTCCATGACTGCAAACACTCATATAAGTATTTGTACACCTATAATAATCAATCACGAAAACCATGTATTAAAAACCGTAACCAAAAACACACTCACACCACATCGAAATTATCACTTTAAACGGGGGCATGGGGACCACAAACTTGCAATAAATATGGAACACATCCGACCAAAAGGGACCACAAAATGCAATAAAAAAATGAACTACAATCCCACACGGGACCACAAGCATTGCAATACAAAATAAAACAACATACATAGAACGGGACACCCCCCAACATCGCAAAGAAAAGGTTTCTAACAAAACCAAAAACTTTTACTGACTACTGGCCAACTCCAAGTGAATGAGGAAGAAGGTTCCCACAAA